ATGGTGGTAACTCCTTGATAAAGAATGGGTAAAAGAAATAACATTAATGATTTGGTGGAAAGAGCATTTTTGGACCCTTACATGTTTTGTCCATTCCATCTGTTAATTTAGTCAATGGGAAATTTCAAAAGGGGTACACTTTTGAAATTAAAACTAGAGGGAGTTGATTACAACATCAACTAAACTTTAAGGGGGCAATTTACAATTAACACTAATATTAAAACGTACCAACAAAGCCTTTAACTATGATAAATGAATAGCTTTATGTAGTTGTGTTTGATTTCTAGTACAATAACATCTATGAAATAACCCTACTTTCAATGTCACTTGACTTCTCCATCTACCATACACATCATCGCCGTACCAATACCCCCACCATCCCTTACTCCGTCATCACTGTCTTCTCGCCATCGTCATCGTTATTACCAACTATTTTCACCACCATTGTTCTTTTTCATTAACGTTGCTACCACTATTCACACTATTTTTCCATCTCACCATCACCACCGAGGATACTATTAGCTAATAATAGAAGTTCAAGAACTCCATTTTATCATACATATCAGACTCTACAGACGATATTATAATCGTCTTCTATTACCTTCAAAAGCACAAAAGACAACTAAAATCCTCAAAGGCTTATTCCAAATCTTTAGACCAACTTTTTTTTAAATTACGAGATTTTATCCTCGTGGGCTAGCTTGCTAAGTGGGCTCAGATCCCTGGTGCTCGAGTTAAGGCTGAATTGCATATTTAGCACTAACTAAGAAGAAACATTAATCGCAACAAAGAACGAGAATCTGACTTACATCATACCTTGGGGGCGGGGTCTGCTATCGACTTGGAAGGAACAGAACTCTGGAGCCAACCTTCAAATGATATGTTTCCAGCTCCACGGAGATTCTAGAGTTGCTGCTCACTCATTTTTCCAAGCCATACGATACTAATCCCAACCACGTGAGTACGGATGTGCCAATTGTAACAAGTGAACCATGAAATTTAGTTCAAAAAAAAAAATGCAATGATACTCGGTAGATAATGAAAATGAAACAATTGTATTACTATTATACTTAGATAACAAGAAGTTTATAAACAAGAAATATTGCAGGGAAAGAGGTGCATCCTTTCAATGTAAGCTATACCTAGTATTTATAGTAGTTTGTACCATCTTCTATGGTTTTCATCATTGGCCGAACAAGGTGACACACTTATTTTTAAGCCAAATCTTCCTTTAATTCATGAAGGAATCTTATTAGACTTCCTTTCTTGCTCGTAGATTAGTTAGGCCACATGTTTATAACTAGCAATGCACTACACGTGAATAATTTTTGTACACAAAAATTAATAAAACACATTAGGTATATGTGTATTTAAAGTAAATATCATCTCAATTTATTAAACTTATTTTTTCATTGCTCATATTTTGTTATAGGATTATAAAAGCTTTGTACATACCAAAAATTCGTCTTTTTTAGCTATAAGAAGAAAGATAAAAAAATAGTTAAAATTTTATTTTTTAAAATTTTTGTGATTGAGAATGTGTTTGAGAAATTAAAATTTTTTGAAATTTATTTGATTAAGGTTCTACTTATAATTCCTTGAATAAAACAAAAGTAATTGTCAATATACTAATCATATTAGAACTTTACTGTAATTATGAATTAGTTAGATTAATTGGAATAAGATTGAATATACTACTTTATAATATATATTATAAAGCATATTAAAGTTTTAAAAAATTCAAGTATTACTTAAAATACACCACAACCTATTTTTACATTAAATCTTAATACAACTTAAAAAGTTTATTGTGATTAAAGAATTATACTTATATAACATAAATTAATTTCAAAAAACTATATCTATTATTATTATTTTTTATCTTAGAAATGAAAGGGTTAAACTTTTCAATGAAAATTTTTATTTTTGCATATGCGATAAGTAATATTAGATTGATGGAATTTTTGAAATTTTGTTGACCTTTATTAAAAATATAATGATGTATAATTTTTTAAAGGTAATATAGTTATTCAAAAAAATTTATAAAATTGATATTTATATATAAAGAAGGATAAAGTGATATTTACAATTCTTTATAAGGGTAAAATAATGAATTAAAAGTTTTTTCATGTTAATGTACTTTTATTAATAGTATAGATAGATATCATAAAGCATATTAAATTTTAAAAAATTCAATTTTTACTTAAAATTACACCACAATCTATTTTTACATAAAATCTTAATATAACTTAGAAAGTTTATTGTGATTGAAGAATTATACTTATATAGCATATATTAATTTTAAAAAATTATATCTACGATTATTTTTTTATCTTAAAAATAAAAAGATTAAACTTTTCAATGAAAATAGTTATCTTTGCATATGAGATGAATAATATCATATTGATGAAATTTTTTGAACTTTATTAAAAGTATAATGATGCATATTTTTTTAAGGGTAATATAGTCATTCAAAAAATTTCATAAAAATGATATTTATATATAAAAAATAGATAATTAAAAGAGATGTTAGAGGTAATTTAGAGATTTAAATACATAAAAATACGATAATAATAGAGAATCAATAATTTTTTATGTTAATGTACTTTTATTAATTTTATAGATATGCTCTTATGATTTAAGCGATTTCCTTGTTGGATGCCTATCAGTGCCATTGATTCTTCGGGATGGCCTTTTCGTCTGTCTATTTAGTATTATCACTCAATTGCCTAGGATTCATCCCATTAACCAACTCAATTTTCTGGGGATAGCTTAGCTACCTTTCATTCAAATAGGGCTTGAACTTCATAGGATAGAATTGAACTCTATTTTTGGCCATAAGACCTCTTTCTGTTCTAAGCAAGTTTCACCAGGCTCTGTTCCGTACACACTTCTCAATTCGGGAATGTTTTTTGTTGAACAGACCATGGTTTGCCGAATCTTGCATTATTCTCTAGCTCGGTCCTGGTCGAACCAACTGTACTAGCCTACCAAAAAGGCCTTACGTGGTGAGGAGGTACTACAACTTCATGTGTTGCATCCCACATCGACTTTCGAGGGGAGAGTGACTGAGCTATGTATGTGGTATGCTCACTTTTAATTGTCAAGAGGCATTTTCTGTGACAAAGTTCCGGAAGAAACAAAACCGTGAAGGTGTATAAACATCCAACGTGAATAATATCTTGACAGTTGGAGCGAGTCCTCACATCAACAATCATTTTAGCATGTGATTTTGTCGCATGTCATACTCTTGTTGTTGTGTCGTGGTTAAGAGATTTTGACCACCTTCAATCACAATCTTAATTTGGTGAAATCGGAGGAATTGTTGATTTGTATTAATATCACTCTAAAAAGTATGAAAAATATTTCGAAAATTTTCGCAGTTCATTTTTTCAAAAAAGAGAGCAAGTTATAATTTTAGCAAGGCATTTTGGTCATTTTATTTACCAAAAAATATTTAACTCCATGATAGCCACGTGTAATCACTTCAATCATTATTTTTTTTTTTCAAGTTTTACTATCAACGCTCTCAATCAGTTTACTAATAACTTCAAATTGAATCCATGGGTAGGTTTTTTAAATGAATCGGATTTTAGTAAGCTTGAAAATAAATCAATTTAAGCTTGCAAATGAACCAATTTTTAATTCAAATCTGAATATGCTACATGACTTGAAATTTGAATATATAAACGGAAAATTACTAATAAGTATTACTTTTCTCTAGAAACATTCCGTAAATCCTATCATTTTTGTTTAATATCAATGAAGTCTTATTTTTAATATTTTATTTCAATTAAGTCTTAATTCAATTATATTCCAATTTTATCCTATTTACAAAAACACTTTCATTCTTTTGCGGTCTTAAATTCGGCGGCACACTTTTGGGACATTTCAATTGCTATGTGACTTTCGTATTCTTTTTGGTATATAAACTTTGGTGGTATACCCTTGAGACTTTTCAATTAATATGTGACGTGTTTTTTTTCTTACAACAAGTTAATTTTTATTTCGATTAAGGTAATATTATCTTATTGTAGATTCTAGTGATACATTATCTTGTTGGTTTTAAATTATTCTATTAATTTATATTGGATTTAAAATGATTAAATTATGAATTTATTTTAGTTGTCGTGTTTGAATCATTAAAATGAAATTAATTGACAAATATTATTAATGCAGTTTTTTTAATATTTATTATTTTATTAAATACTCGACAAATATTGTCTTAAGTTTTAAGATTGAGTTTCCCAATGAAATAAGAACATAAGAAAATATGGACTTTTTTTTGGATCTTGCCATGAAGTTTATGTCAGTTAAGTTTTTTTTTTTTTTGGGGGGTTTCAATATTAGTTTTTTAAGCAAGAATTTTTTATTTTCTTAATTGGTTCTAAGAATGTAAAAAAATAAAAGAGTTTTGATAATTAAAGAGTAAGGATAAAATTAGAATATAATAAAATTTAGAATTTAATTGAAATAAAATATCAAGAATAGGACTTCATTGATAAAAACAAAAATAATAGGACTTAATGGATTTTTGTAGAAAAAAATAATACTTATCGACAATTTTTTCATATATTAAATATCTCATCCAATTATGACTCTGGTCGAATTTACGTATTTTCATCTAAAATATGATGAAAATAATATTCAATTGGGATTTTGATGTTAAAAAGATTAGATATAAATTATAAAAATAAAATCCGTCAAAAAATTATAATGGATTCAAATAAAAAATTTATAATCGAATTCTTTTTTTTTTTTAATCGAATTCGAATACGGATAGGTTGAAATCCCAACCACACCCGATTATGCAGGCGATCCATTTTTGAACGGATCCATTAAAATTATTAGCCCGTTTTCGAGGTGAGCCCCTCTACGAATCTACAACGTGGCAGGTTTTAATTGGTGGACCACCTAATTCTTCCCCTGCTTTCGCCAACTCTTCTATCAATCAACCCCTAGCCGAAGCTCAGCCTTGGATTCCACAGCACGAGGCTCTCCCTCGCAGCTCAGCCTCGGCCCGAACCTTACCTCGTCCCACAGTTCGTTGAAAACTTTGCACTGTTTCGATCACTTTTTATCTTTCTGCGCAACACCTCCCCCACCCCTCTCTTCTCTCTCTCTCTCTCTGCTCTCCATTTCTCTCGCCGATTCAGCTCCAAACCCTAGGATTCGTGAAATCGAAGGCTATCAGTGGATCGATTCTGAGCTTCAGTGGTGGCCGAGTAAGTTACATGCCCTCTTGTTCTTTCCTCGCAAACCCTAATTTTCTCTCTCCACACACATTTTGTATTTTCCAGTTGTTGGGAGGGGTTTAGCGCGTTGGGTTAGGCAAACTCTCATCCGAGCATATGTATTCGTTTTGCGCGTTGTTCTATGTTTAATCCATGCTTCATGGTTTGAATCGCAGTAATGTGGATTTGATCTTTTCCGAGTTGCCTTAAAGTACAGTTATTTAGTCATATTGTCCGGCTCTACCAATATAATATTTTTTAGTTTTCTTTTCCTTATGATTTCTAGAGGTTCTCTCTCTCTCTCTCCCTCTCTATCTCTCTCTCTCTCAATGGTCATGCAATATATTCAGGTATTAGTTTCATGATTCGGATGTGTTTGGTATTTGGGTTTTAATGGCTTTCCTATGGTAGCATTGGGTGGTCTTTACCCGCCCCCCCGCGGGGGGGGGGGGGGGGGGGGGTTGCTGTTCTGTCTGATGGATGTTTTCATTGTCATATATGGCTTCAATTTTGTCTGTTGAACCAATCTGATGGTGTTGATTTTAGTTTCATTACTTCTTCTATGTGAGTTTCTTGTTTTATATCTGCACATTTTAGTGGTTTTGTATAAATGTGCTTTCTCAGCTTGCCACTGGTTCTTTTCTTTTCCATAAAGAGAGGATTTCATCACATCTGAAAGAAAAAAACATTTAAATGCACATGAGAAGGGAATATCTGATGTAGTGGTGAATTAGGAGTATACTTACAATGCCATTGGATTGACGCCCACTCTGAGTGTCCATTATTAAATATGAGACTTATTAGCTTTGGATCTAGAATATTCCTTATAGACTATGCGACTATTATGGAATCTTTATTCTTTTTATTTGTCCTTTGCATTAACGGAAATTGCAGAGGTAGTCAAGAGCTTGCAGGTCTAGATTGCTTGTTATACAGATACATAAAGTCTTCCCAATATTTTTAGGAATTAAAGTTTCGTTAATTGCTTGATCCAGCATAAAGTTGGTTTATTTGATGTTATTATCTAGTTTCCTTTGCTAGGTGAACTGTACGAACGAGCCTAGACCATAGGCTACATTATGACCAAGGAAAGAATTTTGTCTTCGTTGTCATACATAATGGGATGCCTTTGAGTGAGTTGGTTTCTGTTCTCATTGTTTGGGCTACATTATTAGAAGCTATTAAATAGACCATATAGGTGCTCTAAAGTTTGCCAATCTTTTTGTTATCTCTACATTTCTTCACTTCGACTATCATTATGATGCTTGTGCCAGTATGAGTGGCGTTGCTAGTTCAGAGATTTAGTACAGGGACACTTGACATACTAGAAATACTATAACTTGTTTGAGAATGTGATTTTGGGTTGTTGAGAATTGGTTATTTGTTGTTGTTGAAAATTGGCTCTATTACGCATCTAGACTTGATGGGTAAGTTATTTCCTAGTCCGAAAATTGCTCTGTGCCTATGGGCTTTCATCTCATTGTTTTTCGGGTATTGCAATGGCAAGCAGCAGGGATCACCTGATTTACTTAAATATTTTTGGAATTTTGGTCTAATATGACTTCTTGCACATGCTGTATTCGCTGTTATTTGGCCATTGGTTATCTAGCTGTGTTTATTTTGTATTAATACACTTGATTTATGTTATTCAGGAATAGGTTTTGAGGTTCTTCACTTGGCAGCTCAAGTGACACCTTATTGCCCAAAAGAAATGTGTGAACCTGAACATGGTTGAATTTTTGTATTTAGATTATGTACTTGTTGGAACCTTGGATAGAAGTATTTTCTGGCAGATAGAGAATAGATGTTTTATTTTTATTGATTTGTAGCTTGAATTAATTTAGAAACACGCCAAAATTTAGCTGTTGAAGATTTTGGGGATTTAATCATCTATGCCTGGCAACGAAGTTGGAGACAGGGTACACAATTTCTTTGCACAAGACAACTTATCTCAGGGCCAGCATCGTTCGCAGGTTGTGGACGGTAATTGGCCTGTCTTAAACAACAATCTCTGGGTTGGAAGCCAGGGGCAACTTGGTTTACCGGGTTCAAGTCCAAAAAATAACAATCTGCAGCAATCAGGTATCAACTATCTGACTTGTAGAATACCAAGTTTCTGATGTCTTAGAATGTTTTGTTTTTGTTTATCTATCCACGTAGATGAGGGTAAGAATGTCATGATTTTATTAGACATTTGAAGGATGATTTGAAATTCATCTCTGTTCCAACATAACCCCACCCTTTTTCTTTTGGTATGAACAGATAGAGAGAGAGGGCACACCAACCATCCTCTTCATGCTCCACATGGCTTGAACTCTGCACAGTCAACTTTGAGGCCAGAATTTGAAAGAAGCCAGTCTCAAGGTCAACAGCCAAATTTGAATGGCTATATGTATGGAAATCAGGTTTTTCAGACAAGGCAGGATGAAACAAACTTTTTGGGAGTGGATACAGAATCTGATCAGCATAATCTAACCTCGAGAGGCTTATCTGTCTATGACTCTCAGCAACGGAGTGGTTGTGATTATCAAACAAATACTTCAGCTAGGCTGGAAACATCTGAATCTCCTGTTAATTTTGATTTTTTTGGTGGTCAGCAGCAGATGAGTCGCCAGCAACCAGGCATGCTACCATCCTTGTCGCAGCAGCAGTCTGGGTTAAATGACATGCAGCAACTGCAACAACAATTCATGTTCAGGAAAATGCAGGAGCTTCAGAGGCAGCAGCATCTTCAGCAAGTAGATGCGAGACAACACAATTCAATGAATCAGTTTTCCAGCTTTGCCAAACAGGCATCTGGTAGCCATTCACCTGCGCTGATTAATGGTACTCCAATTGCTGATGCATCTAATCACCCTTGGGCATCAGAGCTGACAGCCGGCAACACAAACTGGATGCAGCGTGGTTCTCCAGCAGTGCAGGACTCCTCTAATGGACTTGTTTTTTCCCCTGACCAAGCCCAGGCATCACACATAATGGGTTTGGTTCCTCAGCAGGTTGATCAATCTCTATATGGAATTCCAGTTTCTAGCTCAAGGGGCAGTCTAAACCAATATCCTCTTATGGCGATGGATAAGTCTTCGATCCAGCAAATGTCAACCTTAAGCAATACATTTGCAAGTAATCAATACGGTATACTCCCTGACCAGGTTAGTGTGCCAGATGGGATATTGATTTCAAGGCATGGCTTTCAAGGGGAAAATTTGTTTGGACATGCATCTGGTCAATTTCTAAATAGTGGGATAAACATGGAGGATCTTCATATAGTGAATTCCCTGCAAAGAAACGCTCCTCTGCAGGAATCGCAAGGGAGGCAGGAGTCAGCAGGTCTGTTGGAGCCATTGCAAGGAAAAAGAGAGATGCAAGTTTCATCTCAAAATGCAGTTGCCCTAGATCCGACTGAAGAGAAGATTTTGTTTGGTTCAGATGATAATATATGGGATTCCTTTGGCAGGAGTGCCAATATGACTGGAGGAGCCAGTAATCTGTTAGATGGTATGGGGTTTCCTTCTCTTCAAAGTGGTAGTTGGAGTGCTCTTATGCAGTCTGCTGTTGCTGAAACTTCTTGCAGCAACATGGGGATACTGGAGGAATGGAGTGGCCCGAATTTTCAGAATACTGAAGTTGCAGCTGGGAATCATCAGCCTTCAATTAATGATAATGATGGTAAACCACAAACAGCTTTTGCCAGTGACAGTATACAGACTGCCTCAGCTATCGGTTCTGGATCTTTTTCCCCTGCAGATAACACCAGTATGAACAATAATTGTAACAGTGCCCTGGGATTTCAGCAATCTGGAACAAAGTTTTCATATGAACATGGTGAAAGTCTACTGTCCAATTCTTCTCAAAGAGCCATTCAACAGTCTTCAGTAGGAAGCAAGCAGTTAAATCGTGATACGCAGAAAAAGCAACTTGCTGAAGGCAGCCAGATTTATGAAAATGCTTCCTATTCTCTGGATGCAGAAATGAATGCAAAGAGCAGTGCAGGTCCATGGACATCTCAGCACATTGGATCTAGCCAATCACGCAATAAACCTAATGGTTGGAATGTTACAGAATCTGTATCGCCTGGTGGGGATGAGGTGTTCAAAAGTCATGAGAACAAGGACTCATTGCAGCATTCTCAGAGTAACATTCAGAAGGGAGCGTTGAATAGGGAAGTGGGTTATGGTGGTGGTTTATGGAAGGTTAATGCTTTTCCTAGTTCAACTGGTGAATTGGTAAAATCTTCTGTGGGCAGTCCACAGGTGAACAGAGAAGACCACACTTCCACTATGAGGGAAAATATGTTGTCAGATGCTAGTGATTCACAGACTCTGCCTGGTGGGAAGCAAAAGTTATCTAATCAGGTTGGTCGGAGAACTTCTGGTCCTCGCAAATTTCAGTATCATCCCATGGGAAACTTGGATGAGGATGCAGAACCTTCTTATGGAACAAGACAGGCTACCCATTTACAGATCCAGTCCCTGCAGAATTCTCGAGGATTTAGAAGTCACGATCAAGGGCAATTTGGCCAGTCAAAGTTTTCTGGTCAGGCTAGTAAAACTCCTCCCGATATGGGGAAGGTAATAATGGGCATTATATATGCACACATGCACACACAAACTCACACATTCTCTGAAGCAATGGACAGCCTGAAAACATAATCTGTGCTACTATTATTGTTTTTTTGCAGGAGCAGTTACTGGATCCTCAAGGAGACACCAAAAGCTTTAATAAGGCACCATCCAGGGGGAATAATCCTGGTTATGTGCCCGATGTGTCTGCTTCCTTTGACATGTCTGTTGGTCCAAATGCACCAAACAAAACTTCACAGTCAAGGTAGTTTGACCATTTATGTTTTTATCCTCTTTAATTAATTATGATGTTACTTGTTCTGTCAAATTTTACTGTGTCACTGTACTTTTGGATGCATGGTTTCACAGATAATGTAATCCAAACTTGCCAGAGTTATTGTAGGGTTATTATTATTATCACAATAAATAATTCCCGACAAGTTTATTTCTACTGTCTTCTGTCTTCAAATACTACTGTTTGGAGTTTACTGTTTTGGGGGTTGCATGTTGATAGTTTTTTCATATTCTCTCTTCCATGGTTTGATGGGTCTGTTATGCAGCCAAAATATGCTAGAGCTTCTTCAGAAGGTGGATCAATCAAGAGAGCGTGGAACCATAATGAATTTACGCCCTTCTGAACACAACCTGTCATCTGAGATGCTCGAAGCAGAAGACACTGAAGGATCTGATTGTCGCCTACGGCAAAGTCAGTCTTCTGCTTCTCAAGGTTTTAGTTTACAACTGGCGCCTCCAACCCAGCGATTGCCCCCTCTAAACCGTTCATTATCTCTTCAGAGCTCTGCCCAGACACATAATTCTTTGAGTTCACCTCAGACTACACCTGAGATGAGAGACAATGGTCATACACAGTTGTCTTCTGCAGCTACCGTTCATTCTTTGCCTTCTCCCAGTGAAACATCCTGGGAGGAATTGAAAAGTGATAGAACTAATGTTCTAGGACAACCTGGCGGTGAATCCTCACTGTATAAAATGCCTGGAAACTTTTCTACAGCGTTTGATTCTGGTTTTCCTTTCCCAAGAAGTCAGCTTCAAAATCAGTACATGACTGGTGCGAGTGGACAAGTTTCAACAAATCACTCTATCAATGCATCTGCTGATAGAAATGCTTCCCAATCTAAACAGACAGATGAGTCTTTTATACCTCTTACTGGTCAATCAGCAGACAAATCTCATTCAACTTGTACCAGCCATCCTTATGAAAGAGTCTCAGCCTCCCAAATTTCAGTTGGGGAGGTTCTGCCTGTCTCTCAGCCTTTCACTACGTCTAGCATCTCTCAGCAGGATGCCTTTCCAAAAATGTCACCTAATACATGGACCAATCCTCCAGCACAGCGACATTTATTAGGTGCTCAAGGTCACAAGATTTCTTCAAAATTTTCCCAGTCTCATCAATCAAGGCTTGCAGAATCAGCACCCTTCTTACCACAAAATCTTGGGGATCAAGATGTGGGAAAAGGTGGGAGTATCCCATCTGAGCTTGGTGCAGCTTCTGTGAATTCACAACGTTTCGTTTGTGGGGAAGAGCAACTGATGAAGGAAAGACTCGATCAGGAATTATCATCTGGGAACATTGATGATACACAAAAAAAGAATGAGTTACAATGGAAAGAGCTCACCATCAAGCATCCCTCTGATGCAGGTTCTGCGAGCCCTACTTTAACTCAGAGAGATATTGAAGCCTTTGGACGTAATCTAAAACCAAATAGCCGCTTTCATCAAAATTACTCCTTGCTGAATCAAATGAGGGTCATGAAGAATTCAGAGACTGATCCAAGTAATGGAGACTTGAAGAGATTGAAAGGACTAGATGGTGGCCTAATTGGTCAGCAAGCAGCTCATAATGCCGGGCAGTCAGATGGATACAATACCATGGTTGGAGATGCCTTAGTTCCACATGCTACAATTCCATCTGGAGATTCTAAAATGCTGAGCTTTTCAGGACCAGCAGATAGTTTGGAAAGAAATGCATCTTCACACCTTGGAAACGTCTCTTATCAAGATATGAATTCTCAGAATAACTATCGTAACAATACTACAGGTTCTGTCAGAGTTGATAATTCTCAGATTAGTCGTCAAATGGCTCCATCCTGGTTTAGTCAGTATGGAACCTTTAAAAATGGGCAGATGCTGCCAATGTATGATGCACGAAAAGGTGCTACTGCAAAGACCATAGAACATCCATTCACTCTTGGGATGTCTTCTAGTGGATTGGCTACACTTAATTCAATGGAACGGGTAAGTGCTGCCGTTGATACAAATCATTTTGGTAATACCTGGCAAACTTCAAGCCCTGCAACAGTAGCAGCTGAGCATATCTCTTCGCCACAGTCATTGCCTCCCGATGTCCGTGGTCAAGGTCTGGTGGTTTTGAGACCAAAAAAGCGCAAGAGTGCTGAATCTGGGCATCATCCTTGGCACAAAGAAGTGTCACAGGGTTATTCAAGTTGTCAGACTAGCAGGTGGTTCTCATAAGCAGCCAATTTGCTCAATTCCTTTACTTTGTGTTGCCGCCCTCCCCCCCCCCCCCCCCAAAAAAAAAAAAAAAAGCATTTTTTCTTACTAATTTTTGTTCATGTTAATGTATTGTGAAGTTTGATTGCTTGCAGCACGGCAGAATTAGATTGGGCCAGAGCAGCAAATCGACTGACTGAAAAGGTGTGCTACTGTTGCTGACCGTACTCCCCATGCATTTTCCTACTCCTTCCTAGCCTTCCGGTGGTTCTTATGTCTTCTTCTATGATGGCAGGTTGAAGATGATTTTGAAATGATTGAAGATGGACAACCACTTGTTAAACCAAAAAGACGGCTTATTTTGACCACACAGCTAATGCAGCAACTGATTCGGCCACCCCCAGCAGCAATTCTTTCGGCAGATGCTAGTTCAAACCATGAGAGTGTGGCTTACTTTGTTGCTCGTCTAGCTTTAGGGGATGCATGCAACCTAATTTTCAGTTCACGAAGTGATTCCAATATGCCCCGTGATGGCACAATCTTGTAAGAACTACTATTGATGATTCCTGGACTTGTTAATGCGCTGCTGGATTCCATTTGGATTGTTTGTTTGAGGAATATTATTCTGCCAGTATTAACTCGTGTTATAAAATTCTTTTGTAGCCTTTCTGACCAGTGCAGAATATCTGAGAGAATTGATGAACAGGACCTTTTAAAAGTTATGGACGACTTCATGGGTAGAGCAAGGAAGCTAGAAAATGATTTCTTGAGGTAACTTCTCAAGGTCTTCATTTTTAGTTTTTTTGGTCCCTAAAATGTTGCAATTTCTCCCCCTGCCTGTCCTGTGACAACATACATGGTTTTTTTTATAATATTATTGCACTTGACCAAAAAAAAGATGTGTTGGCACCAGATAAAGTAAAAAGGAAATTATATATCAGTTTCCTTGTTCTTTTGTGTTCTGAAATTGCATTTTGCTTTGCTCTACTCAAGATGATATTATATTGAGGTCCATAAGTAATAAGGTTTAATGTGATTTTGGTGCTCTAAATTGTGACTTGTGTTGAGTATCCATATTGGACATGGTAAGAGGTGCTTGGGAATGAGGTATTCCGCCAATGTGTTTACCATTGTACAGGTACCCTCAAAGTGAAGAGTCCAATGCAGGAAAAAGTAGACAGAAATGCAAACATTTAGGTTAATTGCTCAGTTATACAGATAAACATGAATATGTCAGTGTGTGAATAATCATGCCTAAAAAGTCTTTTACATCGGAACTTTATAAAACACAGTATCAGTTTCGTTCCTGTTTTCAAAGATCTTTGATTTTGTGAATCTTATTCCCATGATTATTGCATTTTGGTTTCTAAACCCAACTGGAGGAAGTTTGAAAGTGAGAGAACCTTGCCTCATTGTTTATACTCCTGATTAGCGTAGAAATACATAACTATGCAAACGATGTTCACATTGGTGAGTAAAAAGACTTGGAAATATAGGAGTTGAAATTGACTGCCTTGGGGAAAATTTTGTACTACTTTTGTGATAACGCTAGCAGAGTTTCATTGTTTCTGACCTATTCCAAATGTACCTGCATTACGGGTGTTGCATAGAGGATGGGACGTACTGCATAGAGGATGGGACGTACTGCATAGAGTTTCATTTTATTTGGAGTTTATTTTTGTGTCGTGTAGGGTGGATAATGGATATAATTGGAATTATTGCTTGGCGTCAAATCTTTGGGTCATGAACTTTGTGGTTTGTTATTGTTGCCTGCTGTTATTACCTCAATTGCTTTCTGATTACTCTCAACTGTTATTATTTTTCTTGTCATGGTGCAGACTGGACAAGAGAGCATCTGTCTTGGACTTGAGAGTGGAATGCCAAGATCTGGAGAAGTTTTCTGTCATCAATAGGTTTGCCAAGTTTCATGGCCGGGGCCAAGCTGAAGGGGCTGATACCTCATCATCGTCTACCGAAGCAGCTTCAAATGCTCAGAAACCCTACCCACAGAGATATGTTACTGCACTTCCATTGCCTAGGAATCTTCCCGACAGGGTACAATGTCTCTCACTATGATGATTAGTTAATTTATTTTTCCCCCTCCTTTTGGTCTACTGTCTTGGATCTCTCTACTTCTCTGATCTATTTTCTTGCTAGTTATATACTGGCCCATGCACCGAAAAAATAGAACCACACAATGGGAATGCGGAAGAAGAATGGGTACTAGACTGTCTCCTTAAAAGCTATGGAGGCTGTTTGATCTTTTATTTTCAGTCCATTGATGTTAGTCTTGATAAATATAGGTTCTCAGCCCTTGTACATCTGTATGAAATTTGAAAGAAAAGTGGGGTGCTCCCTTCGATTTTTGCAGTAAATGGGAAGAATTAAGTGCAGGCTGGTATTTAAAAGACGGTCGGTCACACACGAATTTAGCAATTTTCTGGTTATACACAGATTAAATGATCTTTCCTCTTATTGAGTACTTTTGGAGCATGATTTTCAATTTAAATGGTGGTGTGGGTATTTTATTTCGGTGAGAGGCTGGAGATTTGAAAATGCCATAGCTTATTCAATTGTGGAGTAGTTTCATCATGAGCTTGGACCCTTTGGCTCTAAATTTATGTGAAATATTTTTCTATATTTGAGGCTGTTGCATGCCCAATTAGTGCTGATTGAAAAATGGGTTTGTATTTCTTTTGTTTGTGTGTGTGTGTGAAGGTGAGTTGGGGTTGATGATAATCAACGTGAATATTGGCCTTTCATTTCCTGCCATTTTCTTGCTCTATGTAGCAGTCTGACCTTTGACGTTTAAAGCACAAAGTGGACGGTCTCACGTCGTAGTCATATAATCCTTAAAAACAATTGGCGCTCAAAGAGCGAATTCCTTGCGACTCTGCACTCTCATTTTATAAAATTTGTTAATTTAAATTTACAATTTGTGAATTTTCCAAATTAGTTGTGTGTTTACTTATTATTATTACTTAAATTTTTATTTGAAAAGTATTGTTTCATACATAAAAATGCATATTACATTAGAATGATATTTAAAACCTAAAATTGTTATTTCATAATTTTATGTTCAATGTATATCTAAAAATAAAATAGTTTACTATATACTTGTGCATACAATTTAATTTTTTTATGTTTATTTTTATTAATTTTTATGGGTGAATGTTCGTCTAGATGTATGTATATATATAATATAACGCTCTCAAAGCATTTTTACTCTTAAATATTTTTAAATTTTGTCGTTTTTGTACTCCCCTTTCTTACTCTTGCTTATGCTCTCTCATTTTATATGATCTTGGTCTCATGTCACGAGCCGAAATGAAATCAATGCTCTTGTATAAACCCACTAGTTCAGCGACTATCTATCAGTTATAATAATATAATTACTATTAGATGAAATTAGACGAGAGCTTTGAAAAACCAGTAGGGCTTGCTCTAGTTGGCCAAAATTGGGAGGTTAGCGAATTAATTCTTACCCAAAGGCGCACATTATACCCCACATCTCTCATTTTGGAGGTTTTGTTCTGTTATCGAGGGTTTTCACGTATATATATATATATATATATTGTGCTCTATTTCATTGTAATAGTGATGTATATAACCCCAGCACTTGCATCTCTTCATATCAAAAAAGGATATTATAATTACCAGTATTTGCAAATTTTTTTTTATTTTTTATTTATCTCTAATTATTATAATAAAGTTAACTATACCCTACTATATACTTTTATTTAATTTTTGTTTTTTGCTCTAATTTGAATTTTAACTTATTTTGAATTCTTTATAAAGACTTTTAAATTTTTTTGAACTTATTTATTAATTATATATTTACATACAATCTTCTATATCTATATGAATAAATAAAGTCATGTACATGTTAAATTAGTAAACACATGTAATTACCAAATTGAATTTCACAATCAAATATATGTTATATTTTATTTTTTAATATGTAATAATATTGTAAATGATCTAATCAATCTAATTAACTGTGCTGCCTAAAATAAATGATAGATTAAATACTTAAAGACTTATAAAATAAACTAATAATAATTAAAAATTATTATTTAATTTATTAAAAAAAAAATTCACCCCACGAAATACCCAGAAATACTATTACAACAGAAACCAGAATTTACAACAGGGCACGAGTCGGAATGCATGCACCACACCAGTCAATGATATAGGAACATTACCTTGGTCGTGCTATATATAAGTGGAACTAGGATTCATTAGAAAAAATCCATAGACTAAAACATTGTAGATTATTTTGACCATGTATGTCCCGATGGATAACCAACTTAATTCCTTTTTTTTTTTTTTTTCCTGTTGGGGATGCAGAATTTGATACCTTCATCACTAAATCTTACCATCATGTCATAAAGGTAGTAGCAGCACTTAGCTTACAAGGGGGTGCTGGTTGCAGCAATTTTGAGAGTATTTCCATGGATGAACCACAAGAACAAGTCTACCAGGCCATGAGAAACCATCCCATAGTTTACAAAAGATCAAGATTATAAGCCCCAAAGAAACATCCATTCAATCATCTGTAGTGAGAATGCCTTTCTTTTGGACTCAAGGTAGTATGATGAATTTCTTCCCCCCCCCCGGGTGTCTTCTCATGTACATACTCCAGAGCAGCAACTTCAAGATAGGTTTACATGCATTTCCTCGCTAACCAGACCAAATATGTCATTCACCCTGTAAAGAAAAACATACTAAGAATTGAAACCAAGGACCACACACCCACACTAAGTTACAAGGACAAAGAATGTCAATTTATAGCAGCCAAGTAAATGGTTCCATGGAGTGATGAGAGGAATGAGACGGGGTTACCTCCCCTTTTTTGCATCATCTGCAAAAGTTCCCATTTGACCATTCAAAGTTGGAAGCCGTTGTTTATCCATTCACTGGTTTTAGATTTTCATTTGAATGCAGCATGAATAAGCTCAAAGGTGATTATTCAACTTCAACACCTACTATCAGTGTTCAAGTGAAGCTACAACACTTGTTTCAAAACAAAAGTGTATCTAATTTTGCCTACTATCCATTTGGCAAACCATTTTACCTGTGTATATCTATGCTCACTTCTGCAAGCCAGCTTGTGATATATACCTGCAGCTCAAACAATTAGTGATTGGAGAGAGAGAGAGAGTATTTTTGTAAAATAGTAGTATACTGACCACACTTGGAGCTTACAGAAACAAATAAGAACTCAAACTTGGGTAACTCAATCACAATTCCTTGGGATTGCTAAAATTTTCATGAGAGATAAGAATTGAGTCAGGTTATGGAATGAACTCTAAAGGCTCAAGAGTGGTGGAAAGTCATTGTCCACTCTAGGATCTATATTCTCCCTTCTTGTTATTACCACATCATACTTGATGTGAGGGTAGCAATGCACTCACTTAAACCTCCTTGCTCCATCTCTCCAGAGAATGTGGGGAAACTCGCTCCATCTCTCCAAAGAATGTGGGGGGAAGAATAGTAAAAAATACCCACGTCCCTTTTCAGAAACATGGCCATAGGGCAGGGTAAACCGCCCTATACACAGAAGGGTAGCATCGCTCTCTAGACAAATATATATTAATCGAATAGACATTGAAGAGAAAGTCTAAGAATTCTAGAAGGCAAGGATCAGCTAAAATCTAACACTACGAGATTTTGGCATATGCAATACGTGGTGATACAAAATGCATCATCCGATAGATGAAATCTCGTATAAACACAACCAAGGAAATATATAATATTTTTTTCGATAAGAGAAGGAAATATATAACATAATAGGGGTCGCACACACACAATACTCGTTTACATATAGGAATAAAGAGAGAGATATGGAAATGGGAAGGGATTATAATAAATAAATCTAGGTGGTTAAATATGATAGAGGAAAGATTATGGGTGAGCTAAATGAAAGAAAACACAAAACAATATATATTTGTACTTAACTGCTAATAAGAGAGAGAACACCAAACCCCCTCCTATCCCTCTATTAATAGTATAGATTATGTATCACCCAATACCTGTAAAACATCATGGTCTGATTGGCGTTTAGTTTGCACAGTCGGAATATCAGAATTCCAACCCTTTAACCTTGGAAGAACTGGCTCACAAACGTCTTTTGAATACAAGTTGCATAAACACAAATCATCAAACTCCCCAGGATAAAGTTCATCTGACCAACGCAATTCATTAATTTGTGGAACTTCTTCACAACTGATGGAGAGCAACTCTACTACAATCAACCGCTGTTCAATAATATAAATATTCAAAACAATATATGAAAGGCAAACTGAAAACAATAGATTTTCATGTAGCCCATCGTAGTTGCAGTTTACCTTCAAATTCAGTTCCAATGTGAACATCTGAACAAGTTCCTGCGCTAGTTCCTCTGAAATAGTTGACACGGACATTATGATATATTTGTGAGTAAAACAAAACAAGCTTGGCAATCTCATCCCAAATATTGTCACACCAAAGAGTTACATTTCAATTAAGACATATTTGGCATATACCACAGCTATGTTTCAGCACTACCCCTTCACCGGGCACATTTAAGACCTCTAGTTTGAATGCACAGAAGCTTACATAAAAAAAAAAAACATAAATCTAACCTTAACACTTGCCCATCCTTTACAAACTTGAGGCTTCCTTATAAGCAAACCGGAAATTTTGCGAGGCAGATAATAGACAACTGTGCATTGTGGAAGATGGAACTCAGTTATTATATTGTTATAATAGATACTTCCTTTACAAGCATATTTTGGTCTATATTTTAAAAAGGACCGTCGCATGCTTGACTTGCACAGCCAGATGCATGATGGCGGAGAAAAAGGCCAGGCACTTGTCTATTTCCAATCTAGGGGCAAGAGTGCCAGATATGGCTCCTATTTATGCTTACATTAAGCATCCATGAACTGTTGGACAAGTGCCTGATTTAACTTAGAAACACGTCCAAGAAGTGTCAACATTTTATTTGGCTATGTTGGTGTCTTAAAATGGGCATGGCCCGTTAAAGACTAAAGTGCACTTCTAAATGCTAAAGTGTGTCTACATGCAACCTTGGCTATACTTAAACATTGTGACAACTTCATATTTTAAGAAGTGTGACCTGATCACAAGTGTTCAAATAGCATACTTATGTTGTAGCATAACTGTGAAGAGCTGGCAAGGCATTATAAAGGGCTAGGGGTCTTATCAACTAGAAAACAATAAAAGAAAACTTGGAATTTGTTAACATAAAAATCTCCATTAAGAATATGCATTATTCGCAATGTGCCATGTAATCACACACAAACCACATTGTCCAAAGTATAACTAACATTAAGCTCCACAATGTTCATCAAACAAGCAGCAGAAAGGTGAGTTTCAAAAAAATATCCAAGACTAACATGCTCAATGGGACAAAATGTTGGCTAACTAAGATAGACAACGTGTCTAAGATGGTTGTGGTGAAACAGTGAAACAAATTAATAATGAACATAATCAATGAGAGGGTAAAAGTGATACCAATCTGAGATAATTTAAGAGGAAATAGATAAAGGCGTTTGGGCATATGTGATGAAGACCTAAAAATGCCCTAGTGCGAAAGAAGGGCATGATCATCATCGACAACATTGCTAGATGTAGAGGAAGGATAAAATTAATGAGTACTAAGATTGTACAGCAAATAGTAAGTACGATAGTTTTTGATTTATATGAAAGTATGGGCTTGAACTAAACAAAATAGCAAAACATGATTCGTGTAGCCCACTCTAAGTAGTAGGGCAAAACTCTTTTAGGCAGAGTGTTTATCATCGATATGTCCAAATGTCGATTGGTTCATTTTAAAGTAAAACGTCTGAATGCTGTGACATGATCAGTTGGAGTTCATGATGTTCAAACAAACATTTTGCAAATTAAACTGATGTCTCAAAGCTCTACAAACAGCAGATGGAATATTAAAGTGGCAATAATGAACATACCAAAAAAGGAGATTGACCAAAATGTAAAGACAACGATTCCCCCACCATCACCAGTGTCATTCTCTTCCCGAGAACAGTTGGAAAACTGTACAAGTGGACTACTGCTAGTCCCTTTAAGGAAACACCTCATCGATCTACTACTGTCGATCATGTGGGTTACAACAGCAACCTGTTAATAAGTATACAATTGAGAATATATAAATTCCTGACAATGCACCTCCAAAACCCCTACCCCAAGAAACGGAAACCGCAAAGCAAAAAGAAAAGCTATTCATTATCATTGGTACAATGAAAAAAATAACAATTTGCTCTTTAAGATACCATATAAAAAACCTTTAATAAAACAAAATCTTTCAGATAAGCATTTATTGTTAGTAGAATTTGTAGTGTGAATCTCATTAAAACCAACTCCTGATATAAGGTTGGTGTACAAACCTAATTAGAAGGATAGCAATAAAGAGACAAAAGATGAAGATATATATGAAAATCATTTTCACAAAAAAATTGACATTACTCTGATCAATAAAGTGAGAATGGCAACAAAAGGTGGATTTATATGTGGAAATATATATGTATAATATATTTTCAGAATCATCACCCTGCGTTACCCCACCACCAGTCTTGTATTTAGTGATGCCCAAAACAAAACTTTTTGTTGGTAGTCTATTTTTTTCTTATGTATCTATCCGCTAAATAAATGATAAGGAGAGGATTTTTCAATTGAAAAGAACTGATACACTAAGGGCATAAATGTAATGAAGGTTGAAATTCCATTGCATATAATAATCTCCTACATAATGGACATTGAAGCTTAGGCATCATAAATACCGACTTCAACTCCTAGTGATCTTCTTCAACAATTACTTCGATAATTGTTGATTATGGAGAATTTTGCATGCAGTAACTTCTACAAATCATGTTTTTTTTTATAGGACACAATTTTTTTATTAATGAATGAAGTAAAGTATTACAAAACATGTATAAATATATACTGTTCAAACTTTGAACTTCACATAGCTGATTATGTTGAAACTTGAAAGAGGATCTTCTGTTGACATTAATAGCTATTTTTTGATCATCGCATAATAGTAGGATACTAGGATACCACAGGATAAAGTATGAGTCCTCAAAACAGCCGCTCTTTCCACACAACAAAAACATAGAAATCCTTATACAAAGCAGGTTCCTTAACTATGTTCAAAACAGCAGGGGAAGATATGCCGGTATTTCTAATAGAATCTACAAATATCAAGAATGCATACCAAGTCCTTGTAAAAAGATAAGAGTTTCCTCTGAAGAAGCTCCTGTAGGAAAGGACAATAGGCATTATTAAGAGATGCCTATTCTCTCGCACAAGAAAAAAAGAAAAATGAAAGAATTGGGCCACAGAGGATCACATGGTAGACTAAAAGCCCTATTGTCTTCTAAGTAACTCTATTTATTTCATAATTAAATTGCCAATATTCAAAAAACAACCAATGAAGATAAAATTACTTTGCAAGCAAGAGAAGCAAACAACAGCTGACACTTCATAGCTTAATGTGGTCAACTTTCAAAGCAAAAGACAACTGGGAATTCCTTTTTTGACAACGATTTCCTGTAGTAACCAAATCAACTACTTTATCATTAGCAACTCTTAAAATACTCGTTCCATTAAATTATTGTTCAAGTAAGGATAAAAGAACTTTTGGATCATTTGTCTATAAGCCATCCAAACATAATTCGTTACAAACTCATAAGTATCGTTGTTGATGTTTTGCCAACAATTTGAATTAGTTTCTTAAGGTAATTTTCCTGTTTTTATCACCAAACTTCGATAACTTGGGATTGAATTATTTTAATTTTATCCTCACTATATCAAACATTTTCTGCCTGTGTACTAGGATTAAATTCTGTACTTCTTTAATCAAATGTCCATACCCTTAGTAACTAATATTAACAGAACCACACCAAATTTCCTTGAATGTTCAACATGAATTCAAACACGTAGTCAAAAATCCACCTACCGACATTCAAAAAAAGAAAAATGATGCAGGCTCAAAAATCAGACAAAATACCTGCTGTTTGAACAATTTGCAACAAGCTTTTTTTCGAATATCCGGCATATCACTCAACACACCCAACTCCCTAGCATTCATGTACCTGTATCAAAACCAACACCAAATCAAAATCATAACTCTCCAATTCAAACCCCCCCAAAAAAAAAAAAACATTGTAAATCAAATGTAATTATTGAGAGAGACAAAGTAAATGCCTTTGAGAGAGAAAAGCGTTAACAAGAGAAGTGACATGAGATCGAGCGATGGAAGACGAAGAGTTCCACTTTTGACGGTAAGAAGCCAAGTTAGACCATTGATTTCTGAGGTTTCGCTGTGCAGCTGGTCTCCATAGCCGCGTAACAGAAGGTGGTGGTGCTTTTGCTGCTGAAGACTTAGGGCTAGGTTTTGTGTAATCTGGTTCTGAAACTTCAGTTGAAGAAGAAAATGGAGAGGAGAGAGAATGGAATCGTGGAGGGGTTGAAACTAGGGTTTCTTCCATAGTTGAGATCTTTTTCAGATTCAAAGTGAATTTCGACACCTACGGGATATATACACAATACAATGGCAACGACCTAGGGCTAATCCAAAAAAATATCGACTAGATAAAGGATAAATTACAGTCCCTGTGTGCTTGGTTTAGCGTTGTGGATATGGTGGTAGTGGCGGCGACCGCGGTTGTGGTGGAGGAGAAGGGGTGGTTCGACTGGCGGCGGGGAGGTGAGAGGGTGGAGTGCTGGAAGGCGGTTACGGGTAGAGCTGGCGGGCAAGTTGGGTTTCTGCTTTTCATTTTTTTTAGAATAATTACACCAGGCTTCCTCAAGTTTATCCTTAATCATTTAGATTCCTTAATATTTAAAATATTATATATAAACCCTTAAAGTTTGTACGTTTATAAATATATCAGTTAAAAAATTACACTCAAATTCTCTAAAGTTTATAAACATATATTATTTAGACATTTTAAGTTTAAAATATTATATTTAGACCAAAAATACTTTAATCAATAATAAATATCAAATATTTTAAATGTTACAATTAAAATTCATATTTTATTATATCATTTATTAAAATAAAATCAAAAATAAAAATTCAATTTTTTCTTAAAAAATCATAATCAATATACAATTATATTGTCTATTGAAATTTAATTTGATAAAATATTAAACTATCTCAATTAAAGTTAAGAGATATTGTGTCTATTACAGTTTGACCACTCATTTAATTTTTTTAGTTTTATTATAATAGATAGTATAATTATATACTAATTATGATTTTTTTTTAAAAAATTAGATTTTTATTTTTGGTTTTATTTCAATAAATGATATAATAGAATATGAATTTTGGATGTAAAATTCATGTTCTATTATGAATGATTTAGACCCCTTATTTGATTTTTTAGTTTTATTCCAATAGATAGTATAATTGTATATTAATTACGATTTTTTAAGAAAAAATTTATTTTTTTTAATTTTATTTCAATAAATCAATAGAACATGAATTTTGGTTGTAAAATTTAAAATATTTGATATTCTATATTTGATTTGAGTATTTTTAGTCTAAGTATAATATTTTAAACTTAAAAAGTCTAAGTATTATATATCTACAAACTTTAAAAGGGTCTAAGTATAATTTATTAACAGATATATTTACAGATGTGGTTTAAGTATTATTCACGTACAAATTTTAGGAGATTTGTGTGTAATATTTTAAATATCATGGGATTTAAGTGATTAAGTAATAAATTTTAGGGGATTTGCGTGTAATTCTTCCCTTTTTTTTAAAGGGTAAATTGCACTAATCATCCCTAAAATTTATGACTAATTGAATTTTATTCCTCAAACTTTTAATTTTATAAATTTAGTCCTCGTCGCCCGCACTAACTATCATTAGTAAAGTAAGTTAGGCACATCATACAATTAAAGAGCATTTTATGTCTTTTATGCTTGCAAAATAAATGACATAGATGTAAGACCCAAATTTGAGTAAAAAAAATAATAAAAAACTTGATTTGATATAAATCTCTCTAATGGACAACCTCTTTTTTAAAGAAAGAGAAACTCAAATTTAAATGATGACAAATTAAAATTTTAAAAAAGGTAAAATACGATTATTAGATCTTTAAAAGATAGTGTAATTTTACCATTAAAGATTTGAGTTTAAAAAAAAAATCTATCTTAGATTTGGGTTTAATAAAACATTGTCCTTTTGGTATGGGTATGTGTATGAGTATGTATAATGGATCTGACATTAGATAAGATTTTTAAGAATTTTTATCTTTTTTGAAAAAAGGGTAGTGATCGAAGACGGTCTAATGTAATAAATATAAATAATTAAAGTAAATGGCATAAATGAATTTCGCGTTGGATCACTCTTTTGGATTTGTGGGTCTAGAGTACGAGCCCTTTTTCTGTGTTTTCTTCTCTCTCTGTTTCTTTACAGTCTTTTGATTACAATTTTGATTCTCGTGTGTGGTTTCGATGGCAGTGGTGCTAGTTTGATTGTGTTTGGGGTTGTTGTTTGGTTGGTGGTTGTTTGGCGATTGATGTGCGACTGGACTTGTGGCAAAGAAAGAGATGAAATTGCTGGATTGAGGAATAAGATTTTGAAGAGTGAGAGAGAGATAGTAAGGGGTGTGTTTTTGTGTAGAAGAAAGAAAAATTGGATGAGAGATAGAGAGAAAGAGTGGGTGTGTTTTCTTTGTAGATAAAGAAATAATTGGTGTGTGGGAGATAGTATATGGAGGGACGAATCTACAGTGGGGCAGCTACCCCACTAGAGTTTTAAAATATTTTGGGATTTAGGTAAAATTTTAAAATTTTTTAAATTTTGTATTCACTAAGATTGTCATAAAGTTTAGAATTAGTGAGTGCAATTTTCAAACATCAAAACATAACTTACAACCTGATTTTATATGCCTTCATCTTCGATTTTTCGTAGAACTTTGACTGTCAGCGTTTATCTTATCTTCACCGGCATCTCTTATTTCATTTTTTTACTATATTCATCAACAAATCGTCCTATTTGGTTGCTGGCATCCATCAAGTTCCCATCCCTTTGTTCACATCGCAACAACGCTAGTCACATAGTATTCTTCAGTTAGGTACCCATTGTCCCAATATTCTTAAAATAATCTTGTTGGTTATAAATCTACTCTATTACTAATTATGGAAGCGATAATTTTGGTTCAAAGTTATGTAAATCAGCCTATGAAAAAACCCTAAAAGATAATGTTGAACCTATAGAGAGAACCCATTAACCATAAAAAAAATTCCCATTGGTTACAAATCTACTGTTAATGAGAGCCCCAGAAGATTATGCGGGAGCTGTCTAGAGGTAAACCAATAACTCATTAAAAGTTTCTAAAGATTTTCAGAGATTTGTCATATGTTGAAACTTTTTATTTTTTGAGAGAGATATTCTGGTCCATGATAAAATATAGTGATTTTTCTGTCAAACCATTGTTGTCTGTTAAGTGTTTGTTAAAATGCTGCAACAAAAACCGTTATAGGACGAGCAAAGTATATTAGTAACAATGATTGTATGTGAGCCCTAAGAAAATTATGGATTGCCCAAAATCAAAAGGGTTGTAAGCTTTAAATATTTTATTGGAACTATTAAAATTAAAAGGAAATGGTTGCTCAATGAACATTGACCTTGATTACCTAGTACCCATACAACTACATTATTTCATGAGTTTTGATAGTTATCATTTGGAATTAGTCATTTCATAAACTTGACTTACTAGTCACTTTTTTTCCAATCATATAATTATTCGGTTTTATTGGTTACTTGAAATTTCAATTTGGGTTACATTTTGAATTAAACAATTGAAAATTTGCCTATTATGAGTTACACTTTGGATTAAAATGTTTCATTAATTAGTTTGAATAATTTGCTAGTGATTGATTAAATTGTTCCTCAATCTTAGTTCGGCTCTAAATTATTTTTATTAAATTTGTTTGGTTTGTTTTGCTTATTTAAACTCTATATAAGTTGTTTGTTAAAAAGTCAAGCATAAAGTATCGAATTAAAATCTAACTAGAGCACTTAACAAGTTTTAAGTTGCCCCAACTACATAATCATCTTGACTTTGCCCCTGAGTATGTGTATTGGGGTATGGGTGGAGGTTTTCTGTGAAGAGAAACGAAAATTTGAGGGCCAGAGAGAGAGAGAGAGATGGGGGATCTAGGTGTGCGTTCTATGCATAGACAGAAAATTGGAGTAAAGAGAGAGAAAATGTGTCTATGTTTTTGGCTTTATGTAGAGAGAGAGAGAGAGAGGGGAGAGGAGTGTTAATCAAGACGAGCTACTCGGGCTCGACTCGAGTTTGGTTTAGATAAGACTCGGCCAAGTTTGAACAAATTTTTAACTTCTTTAGAAAAATGAGCTTGACAAACTTGGACTCAAGTTCATAAAACTTGACTTGATTAACATCCTAGGGGTTTGTTAGATTTGGGGGTGTGTGCTATGTTGTGAAGGGAGAGAGAAAAAAAGAAAAAGAAAAAAGAGGTGACTTTTCATCCGAAGTGCACCAAGAACCATGAATATTTGGCAAACTTCAACCCCCACCTCTCTATATATTTTGCAAACTTCTTTGAAACAATTAAAATTAATGATGCACAAATCAGTTTTATGCACCACCTGTCGAGTGATTAGTAAGGTTAATAAAATGTAATAAATATGCTGGAAAACTTAACACAAACAATACACAAAGATAGAGTGGTTTGGTCAGGGTGATCTACTTCACTTTGATGGGCTTTTGTTGCCGAGGTGTTTTATTGCTGTAAGATTGTGGGGAGCTCAGGTGAGTCAGGTGTGAGATAAGATGTCAGATACCCCCCATGTGTAGGTGGAACTTACAATTTATAGGCGCCTCCTAATAGATTAAGGTGCCATATCCGTAACAAATAGGTTAATTTGGTGGATGTGACACCATTCTCGCAATGGACAGGGTAATAGCATGGAGATGGCGTGGAGATATCTTTATCAATTGCAGACTGGGTCTCAGGATGGGGTGGCTAAGGCTTTAGGATGGCATGACTCCTTCCTTGACTCTAGGATGCCATGGCTCTAGGATGGCATGACTGACTCCTTCACTCTAAGATGGCGTGACTGATTCCTTTGACTCTAGGATAACGTGGTCTTTGACTCTAGGATAGGGTGACTCCCTCCTTGACTCTAGGATGATGTTATCCTTAACTCTAGGATGACGTGGTTCTTGACTCTAGGATTGCGTGATTCCCTCCTTGACTTTAGAATGACGTGGTCCTTAACTCTAGGATGGCGTGGTCCTTGACTCTAGGATGACGTGACTCCTTCCTTGGCTCCAAGATGGCGTGGTTGATTGTACTCCCTTGACTCCGTGGTGAACCGAGTTGGCCCTCATTTGGGTTGAGCCCATTAGGCTTTGTTTGGGGCAGGCCCATTACTTGAGTTGGGCCTTGTTTAGGCCAGTCCCACTATCCGAGTTGGGCCTTGTATGGGTTAGGCCCATTACTTGAGTTGGGCCTTATCTAGGCCAGCCCCATCAAAAACAATAAACATAGACGATATTTCTTTATCTACCTTATATGAATTTACAAAACTAGAGTATTAAGCTCTATTGTGATTAATTCATATAATTATTCTGCAGGGATAAATCCACGCAAAGGGTCACCACCTCGTATCAACGGAGATAATGGCGAAAAAGTCTTGGTGAACATGCAAAACAAGAGAAAACCTAAGTAAACTGATGGCTGAAGATGACTAAAGG